ACTATTTGACTTACAATCAGTGACGACTAACGCTGTCAGCTGTCAACGATAGTCCATGGATGTCTCTTCATTTACTAGCTTGTCATCTTATTTTGCAGCATGTCATCTCTTCTACAACTATCGCTGACGGTTTGCTGCGTGCTTTCAAGAGAAAGAGTGTGAGAATGTGGAATAAGAATATCTGAGGAAGTGCCGCGAGCGGGCTACCCAACACCATGTTGGTGAGGTACGATTTTTCCATGCTCAGACCGGCTATCAGGTGTTTACTCACCTGCCTCTTGAGTCGCCCTCAAGTAAAAAGTAAAGAAGAATCTACTTCAAAGGTAATGGTGAAAACCAATCAAACCTGAAGAACTGCTCCACTGCCTGCATAAAAATAATAGATACAAAATGGAAATACATAAATATAATTGATAATTGTTCGGTTCCACGTAAGTGATTGGCCTCCACAAAGGATTGGTATTCTGGAAGGAAATAGACATAGTGTAGCCATCTTGCGTACGAAAAGGTATGAAAACAAAAAATACTCTTTTGTAACGCATATATGTAAAAGTGTGAACTTGTTAGAAGTTGGACTCTTTATCAAAATCGATCAAATGCGTGTAAAAAGATAATTAAAACCGTTTGAACGTGGTAAAGGACCTACCAAGTCGATATGCACATGGGCAAAACGTGCATCTCGTTGCGAGGAAACACCTATGGGTGAATTTGTGTGACGATTAATCTTTGATTGTTGGCATGCTGAACACTCTCTAACCCATTTGTGTACATCCTTCTGTAAATTCGGCCATATATATCTAGCATTGATTAGTTTTGTTGAAGCTTTTGCGCCAGGATGAGACAAAGAATGAAAGTTATTATATATCAACTTTCGCATACTTTTGGGAATGAAAGGTCGCGGCGTTGCCTTAGTCGTGTCACAGTAGATTAGAATACCATCAACAGGTGATGGTAACTGTTTTAAATTAAGACTTGAATTGTTTGTTTTAAGCAGGTTTTGTAATTCTAGATCCTGCTCTTGTTCGTTTCTCAACGTCTCGAAGTTTACTGTAGATTGCTGTAGCACGTCCATTTCTAATCTAGATAAAGCATCTGCCGCCTGATTGTCCTGACCTTTGACATGTCGGATATCGCTTGTGAACTGTGATATATAGTCAAGGTGTCGGACTTCTCGAGGTGAGTATTTATCGGCTCTCGCTTTTAATGCATTCGTCAGTGGTTTGTGATCCGTAAAGACTATAAATTCCCTACCTTCTAACATGTGTCGGAAGTGTTTAATGGTCAGGTAGATTGCAAGAAGTTCTCGCCCGAAGGATAGCATGCCGAATGGCATGCGTACAAACTCGAATAAGCCAAAGGGTGTAGTAATAGCTGTCTTGGGAATATCTTCATCAGCCACCGGGATATTGTGATATGCCCTGACTAAGTCAATTTTAGTGAATATGTTCATACCCTGTAAACCGTTGGTGAAATCTTGGATATGAGGTATTGGGTACCTATCTGGTACGGTTTGACGGTTTAGGGCTCTGTAATCCCCGCACGGTCGCCAGTCACCTTCATTCTTCTTTGGGACCATATGCAAAGGGGATGCCCATTGACTATCAGAGGGACGGATAATACCCAATTGTAGCATATAATCAAACTCGGCCCTAGCGATTTTGAGCTTATCTGGTGCTAGTCTCCTGGGTTTTGCAAACACCGGTGCACCTTCGGTTTTGATAGTGTGACTTACTTTTAGTTTGTCTTTAGAAGGCTGTGGGTTTGGTTTAGTTAAGTTTGGAAATTCCGCGAGTATATCTTGGAATTTCGCTGTTGTTACTGGAGGAGTTTGAATCAAGTTAAGAGAGCTGATGTGACTTTCTTTGCCTTTTGTGTAATACGAAGTTTCTTTTAGTGTTAATCGCCGTTTCTTGGTGTCAACTAGAAATTCGTATCTCTCTAGAAAGTCCATCCCCAGTATTGCCAGATCTAAGTCGGCTACCGTGAAAACCCAAGGGAATTGCCTCCTGAACCCCAAATCTAGGGTTAAAGTTTTCTGCCCAAATGTCGCGATTTTAGTTTTATTTGCAGCTTGAAGTGTAATTGATGATGTTTCTCGACTAATCTCAGTTTTATTTTGAGGGATGATGCTAAGAGCAGCGCCAGTATCCACCAAGAAATTCAAGCCAGAGTTTCTGTCTCTAACATAAAACAAGCGACTGTTTAGGCGCCCCTCCTCAGTCGTCGCGACCTGGGGAGGGGTTACTCGTTTCCCGCTGTCTTAGAATTATGCTTAGGCCAGGCGCATGGTTGCATGCACTTGGTTGAGTTGACACCAAACTTCCAGTGGTACCAACAAAACTGCCCAGATTGTCTGGACATTTGTGACCTGTTTTGTGACTTGGATCGTGGTCGTTGTGGTGACCTGCTCCTGTTTCTATGACCCATTTGCATTCTGGTGACAGCCTCAGTGAGACTCTTAACACTCGCAATGAGTCCTTCTATTACGGGGTCTACTTTTTGTGTGTGATTTATTGTGCCTGATCCAGTTGGAGGACCTCTTTCCATTATTCTGTCGGCTATACGCGCTAAATGAGATAATGAGGTTTCAGGATCTTGTGCATCCAAACAGTGTTGGACGTAGCATGGGAGAGCTTGTATCCATCCTTGTTTTAGGACTGCTTCACCCACTGTGTTATCACCCACTAAGACTTGGAGGTGACGTAAAAACTGTGACGGCGACCGATCACCTAGTGTTTCACCTTGAAAAAGTCTTTGGATTCTTTGACTATCTGATAATGATAAACGGTTCATTATCTCTCGTCTTAAGATGGTGTATGGTTGTGGTGATGGTGGACTTAAAATCAAGTCACGGACTTCTTTGGCGACTGAAGGAGGAAGGATAGAACACAAGTCTCTATAGCGAATCCCTTCAGATTTGATATTGTGTCTCGTGAAATAATGCTCTAGTTGAGCAAACCACAACTCAGGATCACTACGATCAAATTCTGGAAGTCGGGATTTCGTAGTCATAACAGTGTCTATCTCCACTGGTGACAAATCCTCCAGATTATGGGTTTCTATTGAGTCTGACATGAGGTATGTGACAAATATAGCAATAAAGTTAGCACGAAAAATGGTTACTATAACACGAATAACTTAAGATAATACGGAATAAACTAGTTATATACTCAAATTAGTTTACGGATAATCAGGTCTACTTTTACGATTAAGTAAAAAAAATGTTAATAACAGAAATGAGGTTAAATTTGTGTTCAAAAAGGGCTCACCAGTTTCGTGCCTATAGGTAACCCTCGTGCTATTGATAGAAGAAACCAGACAAGTAGTGAATAGGTCTTTATTTCGATCTTCGCGCAGTCACAGTGGAGCGTGGGATTATCTGTTCAGACAAACAAAGGCTCTCAACATTCAATATAAGATAATAGGGAATATAACGCTTATAAAAAATAAGGAAGTGAATGAATACTTGAACAATACTGTTTTGGCATATGCTTGGTTGTTTGGGGTCGACTCTTAACCAACCAACCTAAGCTGTTACACTATATCAGCTCCTCTCTTGGTTCTCACGTCTTCCATCACCCGCCTGAATGTTTTGTTGATGCAGATATGGTCGATTTGGTTTTGTGTAGTGTGATCCGTTGAAGTCCATGTGGTTTTGTGAATGCGCTTATGTGGGAATATGGTGCCGCCCATGACCAGTTTATTGAAGGCACATAGGTTTGCAAATCTTTCACCATTTTCATTCCCTTCTCCCAGTCCGTGTCGTCCCATGATTTCTTCATATCCAGTGTTGTCCATTCCAACCTTGGCATTGAAATCTCCCATCAGAATGGTCAGGCCCTTTGTTGGGCACTTCTCGATGATTGACTGCAGCCTATTGTAGAATTGATCCTTAGCGTCTTCATTGTAATCGTTAGTAGGCGCATAGCATTGGATGATGTTCATTGAAATGCCCTCTTTCTTTGTTTTGAACGAGGCTTTGATGATCCTTGGTCCATGAGATTCCCATCCTATAAGCGCATTTCGCGCTTGTTCAGACAGCATCAATGCAACTCCTTGTGTATGTGGTGCATTTTCTTCTTCATGGCCGGAGTATAACAGGAGCTCTCCTGAAGTTAGTCGTTGTTGTCCAACTTGTGTCCAATGTGTTTCACTGATCCCAAGTACCTCTGGGTTGTATCTTCTCATTTCTGCAGCAATTAAAGCTTTCAAAAGAACAGTGGATTAACTAAGAGATCGTCATTGCCAGGACTAACACAGGTCTTGCCTTCTGTCCTTTCAAAACTGAAACTGATGATGAATGAATGAAGGCATTGAAGATGACACAGGTATTCAGTGTTTGACAACGCTTTTACAAGCAACACCTTCTAATATAATTTGCACCCACCGAGAGAAGTCAAAAGACATAGTCGAGGAGATCGGAAGAGTGTATTTGGCGATTACCAATATATCGGAATTCTCTGATCTAATCTGGCTAGCGATTGCGGTAGATGTTGAGCACGGCGTTACCACACGTGATCTGGTGCGGATGCCTGACCGAGCGCCTTCAGCTAGATGAGTCCACTAGAACATGTGGCCAGCATCCAATGTCGAAAACTTACAGAGCTATTTATTTTGGGGATTTATTTACCGCTACAGCATGAAGCGTGATGATATTATGTCCAGCATTACTTATGCTCATATGTTATGCACTGTAGTCTTTTTAAATTGTTTTTTCATCATTGGTGCCTCGGAATTAATTTATGTTTTTTTTATGTCTGTTTCAATTTTAAATCAAATTTTTTATGTTGTCATTTATTTCAATTTTTTTCTCATATCGATCATATGAGGATCGACTAACCAACTACTCCTTGACGTGATGACGGATGGCTCTAGAAATAATAAGGTACGCTGAAACTGACAGAATCCCATGAAATTTGTTACCGAGTATCTTACGAAGATTTTCTCTGAAGATGACGCTTTGTTGGGTATTGAAGATGTTACGAGTCATTTCAGCGTCACTTGCTTCTAATGCTTGGTGGGCTATTTGATTCTAGAAGGTGTAACGGGGTTAAATCATCATATATCGAGTTGTTAATAGGTTCCGTTTTTCTTTCTATTGCAGGGCAACCAAGAATAAATGCTTTAGAAAAAGAAGAGCTAGCTCTGCATGCACCGAACCTACAGGATGACTCATAAGACCGTTTTGTAAACTAGCTCTTCCTTCTGTACACAACCCGCAAATTTTAATTTTCAGATAAACGACTGGTGGTTTACATCCCGTGTTCTCTCTCTCGTGTGAAGTGCTCGGTTAACATTGTATGTGTTGTGTTTTTAGGTCTTCCTGCCTTTCAGTGACTGCTGATTACGCGTGTTACGTAGGTGTAACGGGGAATCACCATATAAGATGTTGGTAGATTCCGTTTTCTTCCTATTGCAGGGCGACCAAGGATAAACGCATAGAAGAAGAAAAGCAAGCTTTGAGTGCACTGAACCTACAAGATGACTCATAAGACTATTTTGTAAGCTAGCCATTCTTTCCGTACATGGCCCGCGAATTTGCTGCAAGGAGTTAAGGTAATCGATCGAATTCTCACTTGCTTTCTGGTGACGCGATAAAAACTGGATAGTCACTTGCTGGGTGTCCACGGGTAGGGAATAACAGTCATCTAGGATCTTACGATTTTGAGTAAGTGCGTTGCTTGCCACAAAACCGTTGGCGGTAGCTCTTTTTACTACTTCATCACTCAGGTAGGATACGAGGTTATCAAAATGTTCGGACGTTAGGACTTTTTGCAGATATACTGTAACTTTAAATTTCCAAACAAAATAATCTGTTAAAGCTTCAAGCAGTGGCGGCTGACGAGAGGTTGAACCGGGTGCTGCATCGACTGGAATCACCGGGGTTTGTCTAGGTCTCGTCGCGTTTTCCCGTAAACACCCCCATCACCATTTGTATTAACTGGTGGGCTTCGGAGAAAGTGTTCTCTTAGTGGGCCGGGCACCACTCCTTCGACGAAACCCGAGCGTACTTATTTCTCTCGTCCCATGACATCTAGGTGAGGAAATGGCTAGCTTACAAAATAGTCTTATGAGTCATCTTGTAGGTTCAGTACACACAAGGCTTGCTCTTCTTCCAAAGCGTTTATCCTTGGTCGCCCTACAATAGGAAGAAAACAGAATCCATTAGCAACATCTTATATGGTGATTTCGACTCCGTTAAAAAGGTTTTTCGTAACTGTAGTGGGTATTTATCCTTGGTAAACTTTTAAAAATCGGAGAGTAGCACTTATTTGATTGACCATAAAAGTGGTCCTTTGTGTAAAATTATATCAGACACGCATAAAGTAACTAATTTGTGATTCAAGACTCATTCATCCACCCTGTGTTTTTGGTAATGAATTTGTTTATATCTTAAAACACGCTAAAAAACTTGGTTTTGCACAAAAACCTAAGGATGAAACGCCTAGATTTACTAAAATGTTAGTCGATGTGACTCCCATGTTCGGACTTGGTTTTGTCCGTCTGTGTTACACATTGACTTATCGATAAATGTGTACTGCTATGATGATCCTCAGTATATTACTGGGATAGGGTTGGATGTTGAGACAGTGTTCTCAAACAACTGTTGGTGCCTTGGGATTTACGTATAAAGCATTTGATTTTTAGATGAGTTTGTATTTATGTAAGGTTTGTTGTGTGTTTCTATGTACATGGTCCGTCAAGTATTTCATTTAGCAGTTCAAGGGAACTTCTAGGGATGTTTCTTATGTATGCGATCACTTGGAGTTATACCGAACTATGGTTACCAAATCTCCTAAATACGTTTTGATTTACTCTCGCACCTATACATGGTTTAATTAAAATAGTGCTTAAAGTGGGTTTTTCACGTTTTGTATCGACAGAAGACAAAGTCCCCACAAACTAAAGTTGGTGAATCGAACTTCTCAATGTACACTGAAATGCATTATCCTAGATACCATCCTTCTCAGTAAATAACTTCTCACACATTTTCTTTCATAAACAGACCACCAATAATGACTGTTTCCGGGTCAACTTACATTTTCTGAAGTTTTTGGGATATCAACTTTATTGTTAGCTTACACGGAGTTCATTTTCAAACGTAATTGTTCACAAAACCAGTTCTCGTGGTAATAAAGTGTTCGCTCGCGGGATCAAAGGTCCTGGATTTGATCCTTTGTGGTGTGCTCGTAGACCCGTCAATGCCGCGGATTTCATATTACGACAAAACGGCTGTCCAGTGTCTACTAGTTCCCAATAATAGTCTAACTAAGATCAATTTGTGACATAAAAATACATGATTAAAGGAAGTGCCCTTGGAATTTTTTAATAAACGGAATACACCCATTATGACATCTTTCTTTCTTATTTAAAGGAAGTGCAACGAAAGGCTTGAAATATACTCAAAATTAAGTGTACGACTGTGTATTTCATTCTGGCTGGTAAACTAAGTACTACTACACGTTCCCTACCAATCATGTTGATCTTAAAATCCACATACTTGTATTCAGTCTTCAAACACATAAGCACTGATTGCGCGGTGTAATAGGTTATCTTCTGTGATTGAAATTGTCTGAGATTATTTTGTCTCAACAGGTTGAAGTATAGAACTATTAAATCTATTAGTGAGTATTAACCATATTGAGTCACTATAACGTGATAATTAACCATTCACTTATTATATAATGTACTAAGTATTTGTTATCTGGTAGTTTAATCAAACGCTAGTTTTGATATCCTAGCAGTATCGGTAGAATAGTACTATTTTCAACTCTCACAATGCATAACCAGCCTAGCAATGAACTTTTCTGAGTACTTTGATACTAGCGATAGGGAAGAAAAGTCATCACTTTAAAAACATCATTATTAAATTATCGAGCAGCAGTGGCATCACAAGAACTGTCTTTTTTTGAGCCAAATTTAGTAGTATCGTATAATGAGCCGAATTGACTCTTGTTGGATTATATTCCATTCAGTTCAACTGTTGCGTAATATCACTTGTCCAGGTTAGGAGTAACATAAGGAAGTACGTAGTTTAGCTTTTCTGGTTGTATTGCATTTCTGGACTATATTAGTCTTCAATTTCTTATTCTCCATTTCACCTATTAATGCTCCAGTTTCGCGAATGTATTTATATTTTGACAGATTGTTCGAATTAAGAAGTCCTGTGAGGCTGTAAAAATAATATTGTAACTGCATACTTCTTAAAATATGGTTGAAGTTTACAAGCTGAGATGCACTCTATCGGGTCATAAGAGCGACGTCCGTGCAGTCACTTGTCTTTCGGATACCAGAATTGTTTCTGCTTCAAGGGATTTAACAGCAAGGACATGGCATATTTCCAAGTTAGTCATCTTTCTATTTAAACTAATACTATTACATTTACTAACCGTAGTTATGATAAGTCATTTATACAGGCTATATCGTAACTATCATTATGTCTATCAGCTGTAAGGTACACGAAAATCCGTTATTGGACAGAATTCCTGTCACTAGTAGGACAGGTAGTAAAGTTTACAGAATGAGTGATGAGAAATTCTCCTCTCAATAAGTTAAGGTCTTCAAATGCTCAACAAAACGTAATCGTACAACCAATCTTTTCTCTGCTAAACTAGCTTCTTAACAGTGCCGAAGGTCATCTAGATCAGCATATATTCCTCCGGTTTTTGGTTTACAAAATTCGTCTTATCACATTTTCGGTATCATACATATAATTATCCCGATACATGAATTTATCAATAATGTTTGAAGGTCTACCATTAAGGGTTATTGCAGGTACGGGTTCATACGAACGTTGGTCAGTTTTAAGTTTTTCTTTTTCCAACCTGGCAACTTGAACCGATGCATATATGTGCCTAGTTTTACGTTGTAGCTGAGTAGCTGACTTTTTCCAACTGGATAGTCTCAAATAGTATTGGTAGCCACTTTTATTTATCAACTTACTATCTGGATATTACTGAGCACCTTAATAGTAGTAGTTGTTAATTTCGCAAATTATGTTATAATTCATCAAGGTTTTTTTAAGTATGTCGGAAATTTAACTGAAAATAAATTTTCTATTTGATAGAGAAGGTTGCGATGGCTGTGAAGATATGGTTCTTCTCGGGCATACAAATTATGTATCAGCTGTGTGTTGTCAAGAATTAGATAAGGAATGTCGTATTCTAACAGGATCACATGATAAACTAATTCGAGGTTATAATTCTATGTCTCCAGAAGCTCTTTTCACTTTAGAAGGGCATAAAGATACAGGTATGTTCTTAGTGGATATTACATTACTCATTTGTTTCTCCAACCAGTGTGTACTTTAGCGGTTGGAAATCACAAAACCATAATTAGTGGTTCTTGGGATAAATCAATCAAAATATGGAAGGAAGAAAAGTGTGTTTCTACTCTCACAGGTGAGTTTTAAATGAAAATATTTTGTAAAATTTGGAATATTAGGGTGAAGAAATGTGATAACGTTATTAACTGGTTGTCATCGGTAACTTCTGAATACTATTTTCTAAAGTGGACTAAATTCATACAATTCAGCATCATATCCATGTTTTTTATTGAAAAAAGTTTAGGAATTATCTGCAAGTTTATATAATTATTTCCGGTTTTTAAAATGTCAAGTATTTATAATAATTAATTTCCTTCTTCAATTACAAAAAGTTGTTAGAAACTTTTTCATTTCAGGTTATCCAGAAACCAACTCTATACTACACTAAAATAGGCTTGGGGGATACGGTAGAGAAGAGAGAAACAAAAGATGAGAGATCTACTTCGAACACATGAGTCTCATTAAGTAAAAAAAGTTGAACTCTTCATAAATAGTATATTTTTCACTTTCACAGAAGTAAGAGTATAATTAGTTAATCATCTTATAAATTTGCCAAATAATAGAGATATTTGAATAGGGTCAAAAGCAGGAGTATATTCTCCAAAATAGCATCCAACACTTACGTTTTGTAGTGTAGCGATTTCATTGCAGTAGTCTGAACAGTTAGCTTGTTTGAACTTACTCTTTTTAGTGCCAGCTGACTGGTAATTTATTATCAAATGGTAAATGTTACTTAAAGTCTATTACTTGATCTTATTGGTTTTACTAATCTGCATGTTTTTATAAGGGATTCATGAAGAATATTTTTAGATTGCTGTCTACATGATATGATAGAAGTGATCTCTCAGTTGATATTGTTTGCGACAGTTATCATTATCAGTATGAATATAGAATAAAAAATACATTATTACAACTAATTTCGACTATAAATGGCTGTTCCAGCTATTTGATGATCAGTTCGTTGTAATTTTTACCAACATACTCACTGGTAATTTATTAATAACTCCCTATTATTTTATGTCATAAAATTGGCAGTTAATTCTCTTATGTATAGGACATGAAGCAGCAGTATGGTGTGTACTCGTTATGTCGGCCGTAAATATAACCGGTCATGTTGATGATTTAATTGTTATCTCTGGTTCAGCTGATCGAACTATACGTATATGGTGCCTACGTGGTTTTAATCAAGATATAAGTTCGCCTGAAATAATTTTATTAAATTCTTTAATTGAACATAAAGACTGTGTACGTGCCTTGGCACGTATTGATGATTCACGATTTTTATCAGCAAGCAATGATGCCAGTATAAGAGCTTGGGATGCTACTACGGGTAAATGTATTGGAGAGTTTTATGGGCACACAAATTTTGTTTATGGATTGGCTTGTTCACCTAATTTTCCAAAATTTGTTTCCTGTGGTGAGGATAGAAGTATTCGTGTCTGGCTTTTACCTTCGGCAAGTGAATGGGCTCCTGAAAAACATTTTAGTTGCTTTCAAACTATTCTGTTGCCATGTCAGTCTGCGTGGTGTGTAGCTATGGTACCGAATGGTGATATTATTGTCGGAGGCAGGTAATTATTAAGTGTAAAAAATTGTATAATCGAGTTTGAAATCTACTGGGATTCTTAAATCTTCCTGAACTAATCTAACGTTTTTTTTTTCAGTCTACTCTGATAAATTCCCTCCATCTAAATTATAGAATGTAGAATTTAAACGTTTTACAATTGATTTAAACCCACACCCCCTCTTTGATGACAAAGAAAACCGTTTAGAAGAGGCATATTGCATGAATCCCATCTAATTATAGCCAACTGCGGAACGTCTAAGTCAACGGTGATTATGTACATATAAAACAAGTTCCACTCATCTTCGCTGCTGTTAATTTGATGTTGGTTCCATTTAGTCGTAAATCGAATACTTTATCTATGGTTTTTAATTGGGGATGAATAATTACCTGTAATCCTTTGAAAGTACATTTGTTGGAGGATGAATTGTACGGAGATAATTTATGTTCAACTAGGCGAGATTGAAATTCACAGGTCCTGCTCTTAAAAGATACTTAAAAATTGTTACAGATTTTATGGAGTTATAAATCACTATATATCTATTTTGTGCTGGAATTGCACATATATAGTGATGACGTTTCGACGTGTGTGTGTGTGTGAACTGTAGCAATATGACCACTGAATATTTTATGTAAAGTCCTATATCGTTCATAATCGACTGACTGATTCAAAGTCAAAATTCTTTGCTAATTTTCAATTTAGAATGAATGCATTGGTTGTAATGCTTAAATCATTTGGTTTTCAGTTTGTCGGTCTGAGGCCCAAACTCCATTTTACTTACTTCTGTTCAGGCAATTGAGTAGTGCTTGTTGCTCTCACACAACTAAAATATAATTCAAGGTTGACTGCAGAAATTTGTACTCGGTTCATGGGTAAATCAATCAGTCGACTCTTCAACTAGTTTAAGTTTTAGTTCATGATATCTTCCTGAAAGACATTAACGATAAAAATATGCAGTCATTGCGTTTAACCAGTGGATTCATTTTATTTTCATCAAATTACTAATTGGAATCAATGTTAAATAATAGGTGATGTAGTTAACAATCTTTCAGATTATTGTAAATGTTCTCAATTTTGATTGTTATTAGGAATGATTTAATACAAACAGAAGATAAAGCCTATCAGATAAATTCTGTCTGATTGGCTTCCTTTATCTGGATAGACTATCTAACTTTATTGAGTTGATCAAGTATACTAAAGGCAATTTATATGCTCTATTTCTTTCATAGTGATTCGATGATTCGGATATTTTCATGTGATTCAACACGACAAGCATCTTCAGATATCTTGAAACTTTATGAGACAGAATTAGCCAATTTTAAGATTACAGTTCCTAGTTCTTCTGGAGCTGGAGATTTAGTTTTGAACAATTTACCGGGAGTTGAGGCTTTAACGAGACCAGGTATTTCATGGTAATTCATTTGTACTTACTAATATTCCCTTGTATGTGTTCCTATCGTGTCATTACACAAGTAAGGAATTGTTGATTTATTCACTATCGAACCAAATGCTCATGTAAATTAATAGCGTCCTGTTAACCAACTCTGTGTTTTATACACAGTAATAGAAATGAATATAAGTTGAACGTTTATACAATCCTGCATCTTTTAGATAAAGCAGGTGACTTATTTGTCGAATACTTGTCTTTCAGTCTCACTTTTTTGTATGAGTGGCAGTGATGCTAACTAACTATCCAGATTTAATTAGAAAGAGTTTGAAACAGATCTGTCAGTTGGTGCATATCAAGTGTTTTATTCACGAAGCAATACTGCCTCATATCACTTGAAATGGAAATGAAATATTGTTTATTGTCGTTACTCACACTACAAACGTTTATTTTAATCAGGTACACCATACTAAGGAGGTGTATTTTATGATTATGGAGAAGATTTATAGCTCAGGTGGATGATTTTGGTAGAGTTTATAGCCAAGTCTTAAATTATCATACAAGTTCAGTGGATCAATAAGACTAGTACTATTGTTTATATATATTTATGAAACCAGTTGTTGTTAGATTTATTTTAATGGACTGTAGAATTTCAACTGATTTCTGGGATTTTTTGTTAAAGGTAATAATTTTCTAGCACAAATTTGATAAATATGAAATTAAATTACGTTCACAATTGATTGATCACTGGGTGGTGATCAATGTCATGCTTGTCTAGTCCTTATTAGTGCAGATCGAATGCTATCGATCATGTTGCAATGTGGCCACCAGTCTAGGTGACTCGACACTGCGGGCACGGCTAGGATAGCTCAGTGGTAACGTCTCTGACTGTGAAGCTGGGTGACACGAGATCGAATCCGCCAGGGAGCACCAGTTCCCTCAAGATTACAGGTACACCTTGCTGACGAGTGCCAAGTAGCACGAAACCCGGGTCCAGGGTTTCCTGTTGACTACCTCCAACCACCATCTAAATTAAATTACGTTATTAAGGCTATAATTTTTCTTTGACTATTCCATAGTAAAAATCGGTTTTCTCAAGCTATAATTACTCACTTAGCAGTAGAATCCAAGATTTGTGCTTCATCCGAGTTGGTATCTATCTGATGATTGTAAGTTCACCCTAGTGTTTATCTTCACACAAAGACTGGAACCCAGTATCTATCTCCTTAAAGTCCAGAGTGTTGCCAGTCAGGTCACGGAGTCATGATTTACATCCACTTCTTCGACGGATATGACTAACGAAAGTAAAAAAACACGTTCTGGATTCTGTTACTAACTTCTATTTAAAATTATAATTAGGTAATCATAAAGTATCTGTTCTAGGATCTCATATGTCACTTGGGATTGATTAAATTCAGCCTTGAATATGAACAATAAAAAAATCCACATCCTTAAAAAGAGTAGTAGGTATGATCACTGTTCTGTGAATACTTATTTTCCATTATTATCGATTTTGATTATATAGGGAAATCGGAAGGACAGATCTTGGTCATTAACGATAATGGCCGCTCTGTTTGTTATCAATGGTCTTCACATGATACTCGGTGGATTGAAGTTGGTGATGTTGTGGGAAGTCAACCTTCTAATCGTCAAGTTCATGAAGGCAAAGTAAGCTATTATTGTCTCTCGCGCTTCATTAATTTTGTCGTTTTTGTTAACTGTTATGTGAAATTTGCATGTCGAATCTTATTACTTCAGTTACTGATAAAGATTCAGTTCTGTTATTGTTGACTCGTAGAAATAAGTCTTTCTTTTCTCATAAATCCCTGTCAAATAAACACGATGGTACGTCGTTACATTATTTATTCAATTACTAATTTTTACTTCGTTATAGAGCAAACTTCAATCGTAATTTGTGTTAAGATCATTTAAGTACTACTTTGTTTGATATTGAACCCGTAACAAAGCAAAATAATTGATGGTTATAACAATAATGTGATATGTTTCAAAGTTCATTTGAGAGAAAATGTTTATATGCGTTCTTGCTCTTGTATTGTAAAAAGTAAGCACATCTAATAAATACATTGAATATCTAATGATCTTTTGATGATTCCAGTATTTTGTTATTTTTATTTTTGTCTATTCCCTAAAATCAAACTTTTGTTAGAATAAAGACAATTTATTAGGACGCTTCGATCAATGCGATGAATTAAATCTCGGCAGCTTTATTGAAAAGATTTGAAATAGTTAATTCCCTTCATTTGCCAGAACTATTCTATTGATTAGCTTAATAAATTTTAAATACATTTATTTATTTTGTTTTTATTTAGTTAATTTGACCACTATGTGTTGTATAAATTCCTAATATATTTTTAAAAAATCTTGCTTGATTATTTTTAAGATTGAAGTAGACTGGATTTAATGAATTATAAGTGTTTTATGTTCCCAGTTCGTATCCCACAGGTAGTATTAGTTGGTTGAAGGTTTGAGATTCGTTTTGATAATAATTCTCCCACAAATTCAAAGCCTAAATCCTGAAATCCACTCTAACTGTTCTTAAAAACCTTATGTTTTTAGATGGAGTACCACTTACTTATTTTGATGACTTTACCATATCTTTTGATCAGTTCGATTATCTTGTCATTAGGGTCCATAGTATTACCTTATCCGCTATCTATAGTCTGATTTTCGTACAATGAACTCAATAGTTAATTAATTAACAATATTTTTCGAAGGGTTACTGTTAGGTATGCTGAGGAATATACCAATCATTATCATGTAACTAGCTGGGCTAGACAGGGTAGCGGGACCAATCAGAACCCTAGGCCGTCCACTACGTGTTTTCCGTGTCACTGTAATCGATCAATGAAACGCTGCGCATCTAACGTGCAGTCCACCCGTTTCAACAGTTACCACGTAAGTCTTTTAATTCTTTTTCAATATCAAGCCTATGTACTTCAAGAATCACCCCTAAACTGAGAAACTCTACAGTTTCTACGTTTACTACAGGAAGTTTTTTAATGCCCAGTGATTTAGTACATTCAACAACACTTAAATATATCTCTTGATTTTGTCGATAGTTTACACTTTTAGATTACAAGTGATTTACCAAGTACAGATTCTGTATTGCGCTTTAAGCCACACCAATTTTGTTTAGGGGCTAGTAACGCTACTCGGCTTGGCAAATTGAAGTAATTGGGGTGGGTTTCGAACGGAAGATTTGTTAAAGCTTTATACTCTAGTCATTAGACCACTACACAATTGGAGCGGGAGATTCAAAACAACATAGGTCGTTTAGATAGATGTCGCTGTACATTCGACCTTACAAGTTTGTGTAATATCTCTTAACCTTCATTCTATTTATTTTGTTGCTCAACTTATTAATCATTGCTTAGTTCATATGCATATTTTCAAAATGTGTATTTCGTCCATTTTATAATACCATTGTTTATATTTCATCTAAGGAATACGATTTTGTATTTACGGTTGATATTGATGATAGCATGCCTGGGCTTAAACTACCTTACAATCGTACTGAAGATCCCTGGTTTGCAGCTCATTCTTTCATTCAAAGACATGATTTACCTGCTGGTTATCTGGATACAGTTGCTAATTTCATTATTCAAAATGCAGGACCTCCAATTAATCCAGTTGTCAGCAATGATCTTTCTCACAGTGATCCTTTTACTGGAGCACATCGATATATCCCAAATAGCTTTTCTTCGACGATAACCAAGTCCACCACAAATGGAACATCGGTTTTCGCATCTCATTTCCCACCCGATACCTTTATATCTATGAAATCAATCAGCCTTGGTCCTTTAATGAGTAGGTTAATTTTTGATATTTCTATGTAATTAACCTTTAAAATATATAATTCCACTTGTACATCATTTTATTGTTTGACCTATTCGTAGTTGTTTATTATTGGTTAGTTTAATATGTCACAAATAATGAAATGTAAACGTGCTATACTTTTTGATGAGATTCTAAGTTACTAACTTTATCACTAATATACGCAATCGAAACCGAAGTTGTTAGCAATGCTATTATTATTATTATTATTATTATTATTATTATTATTATTATTATTATTATTATTATTATTATTATTATTATTATTATGTTTTATACTCACGGTATTCCATCACAACTTGATAATTGATTTCGTCCGCTAACCATTTATGAGATAAATAATCGTAGATCGGCTAATAACCAATCAAGTTATTTTAATGGCGGTTAGTAATATGACCGTTTGTCGACTATTCATTAAATATAGTTAGTGATCGCCAATTTAACTAATACTTCCATTAAAGAATTCTAAAAATAGTCATACTGATCAATTATAAAGGTAGCTTAGTGGTTAAAGCACTCAAATTTTCACTATCAGGTTGTAAGTTCAAACGCTGTTTCACCTAATTTGGTTCTGGTATTCGGTCAATATCATCCACCCATATTTCAGTTCAAAAGTGCAACATGCAATAATGTCTGGTCATTAAGTTCCTTTAAATTTAATTTGAGCTTAATCCCAGTTGTCTTAATTAATCAACTAATATTATCGCTTCGTGAATGCTTCTAATTAGTTTATTTGGGGCAAAGGTGGAGCCAGTCGTCAGGATTACCTACAGGCGGCTCGTTACGAAAGGAACTATTTTTCTGTGAACATTCTGTGTGCTTGGTAATCGTATATAATCGCCATTGAGTTTGTTAATAAATACTATTATACATCTGGTATTTCCTCTTAAATCCACTTTTCGATAATATCCTACATATGAAGACTGCTACACCTATTTCGTATCATTTAAAATCTTAAATTTATGTATATTTAGCTTTAGAATTGTTACATGAAACCAGCTATTTTGGTCTTTTAATTACAAATGTGTGGGTAAAATATTAATGGAGTAAACTAAAAAACATCGCTGTTTATTATTCTCTTCCTTAACATACAGCTAAACTAGAGTCGTTCAATGTCCAATCACCGATTCCGTTAAATAATGAATTTTTAGAAGCATGTAGAAAATTCAACATTGATGATTGTACTGAAACTGAAGCTGTTTATCTTACTACTCATATTCTTGATGCAATAAACAAGTGGACTCCCGGTATGTTATCTAGTTTAATATACTGTTGTCATATGCTTATTCATACGTCACATTATGCTCCAATAAAGTCCACAAATAAAGTAACTATCGTATATTGAAGTTGTTTCAAGGTGAATATTTTAAAATTGGGTAATTATTTTTTGGTGAGGGTATTAATTATTATTAGTTTAGTAGATCTTTGTCCATTCACATCACAACGAGGGAAAATCAACAAGACAAATGAACTAAAAAGCTAAAATACTAATTTTATCAACAGCAACGAATACAATTCAAAGAATTCTAAAGAAAACTAATGAGATCGAGGCATGAAATGTGTAAAGTAATGATAATTTCAAGGTTTAGTTGATAATAGGAAAATGCGTGCATATGCATAGCGACAACTGATTTTAAACCAATTCACCTAGTTTTCAACCAAAAATAACAGTTTTACAATGAATTTCAACCAGAAAAGTCAGGACTTCCATAAGCATTTCAGATCAATCACTGAACAGATTACAAATATTCTTTTAATAAATCTTGACACAATTCTGCGTGAAGCAAAAAAGCACTTAGTAGCTGTGCATAACTGACACGTGTCCTGTTCGTTTTAATGGTTAGTATTAAGCAGCCTCATTATCACATCTTCCTAGTACACCAACAGTAATACTGTGTACTCTTTGGTTCCCCCTAAATATGAGCAATATTCATAAAATATCTATGATAAATTATTAGTAACCTACATATTATCATCAACCATGGAATACCATATCTGAAATCCATTGCATATTGTAAAGGATGCATAGTATACTCATTATTTGTTAAGTAAAAAGAAATTCGTCTTTATCATGAGTGGAAAATAATGCGTAATTACAAATATGCAAAAATGCATAGTTATGAGTATTGCATACATTGAATTCATCGTAATTTTGTAATCTTCACACATAATTGAAATTTTTTGGATAATTTTTTTCCAGTGAAAAAGCAACATGATTTATGAAGTATTAAATTATAATGGTTTATCATGTATGTTTAGATTGTTTTTAAAATTGATCTTAATTTCTATTTTTTATAGATACAATATTCCCCTTATTGGATATTTTACGGTGTTTAGTCTTTTGGCCGATATCCAGTGATATTATATTTGAAACAACAAATTGGAATTATTTATTGTTAATTAGTTTTAACAATCCTGATTTGTCAAGTGCAAATTGTTTATTAATGTTACGTCTATTAGTAAACTCTTTAGCTGCAGATGGTCCAAGATTTATTGACGCAATTCAGCGTCAGTTTTTGTCGTCATCATCATCATCATCCTTAACAAATAGTAGTGATAAGCCGAACGTTGTACCAAAATCTTTAATTACTGCTGTTGGAATAACTGGGAGATTAGTTGAACTTGTTAATGATAATAAATTGCAGTTTGTAACGCGTAAACCACATCAGGTCAGATTTTATTATAATTTTCGTATTATTTGTGATTAAGAAATTTATTGAAACCGTTCAATTTAAAACTAGTTTTCATCACAAATTTTAAAACTTGTAGAACCATTAAAAAATTTAGCTAGCCTGGTGCCTATGTTTCGTTTTAGCTTAATTCTTAATAAAACAGATTCATAACTTTGATTGTAACAGAATCTGGAACTTTAAGGTTTCGTCGCCAGCACGATACTGTTAGACCATTGAATCTAGATCCAACAGTTCAGATTTAAAATTGTCATCAATTCGTGATATTGTACAACTCTCATCCTTTATCATTGGTATCGCCTGTATTATTCTCGGAATAGTTCTGTATTTTTTGTATGGATAATAGTTACTATCAGTGGCTTGGAAATATGAACGTCGTGTTGGCGTTCTGTGTATACATTAAGTTCTATGATTTCCCTGTTTCGAAATTGTCATGAATTCAATTCCTAGGTAGTTTTTTGGTGTTTATTAATCGATGGATGCTGTTTATAACAAACTATTTTATCCGTCTTTTATTTTTAGGTTGCGTTGGCCTGTTTGATGTATAATATGTCTGTACTTGTTCATTTGGCGAAACCGTTTTCTATCGAGTCAAATATATTTCCTCAACTGCGCTTTATATCTGGTGTTTGTATTCGAATAAGTCTTAATATTCTATCACTTGCCTTGGATCATGGTTGTAGTGGTGTTACACAATTACACCCTGAAGCTGTAAATCACTTATTTGTATCTATTGGTACCTGTTTATTATCAGTAACTTCAGGATTAAATTCAACAGATGAGCAGTTAAAAACACAACGTATTCGTATTCTTGCATCAGCTATGATTGGTTTGAAAGATTTACCTCAAAGTGTTGATAACGATGTAAATATTGATAATAATGTTGAAGAATTTACCGCCTGGGAATCAGTTCGTAAAATTATTAATTATTGGATAACAACACCTACAGTTTGTTCTAATGTACGAGCATGTGCATCTCAATTACTTTCAATTTTAGAATAACAGTATCAAGTGACTAAAAACAATATTTGTACTTATTAAAAATTTACACTTTTTGCTTAATATAACTGTTTTGGATTGTAAATTTTAAACACGTTTAAGAAGTATTCATATAGGTGTATGTGTATCATTTTCACTCTAATGACTTTTCATTTTTATCAAGTCTTGTGAATTTGTTCATATTTTTATAGACGCACATTATTTTTTTTGTTGCATATTGTTTTTTGTACAAATATGTGTTTTTTTCATTGATTTTGTGAATTAGATACTAATTGCATGTGTAGTTTTCTGTTTACATTATCATCTTGCGTCTTGAAAGTCTTCAATGATTAGTATACATATATACGGTTAACTCACTTCTACGTATTGGGTGTCTCGTTCAATAAATGTTTCACGTTTAAGCTAAAAAATTGACAAAGTATAGTGAATTTATTTTGTAATTTAGACTAATAATAATTTTCTGTTTGAATAAATGCTATAGTCTAAACCCAAATCGACCTCATACAAGTTTGTATGCTGATTGAGAAATTGCACCCTTTATATGTTGGTTAATTAACCATACAATCCACAGTTAATGCTAAATCGTAAAGATTGTACGAAGTTCGTGTGTCTGATCAGTATATTGTGCGAACCAAAGTACATGAAATTATTAAAATCAATTAATAATTTCTTGGTGTTAACAAAACATAAGACGGACAGCGTTTATATGCATCTCTACTTAAATCGAAATTTAATACATAGTTTGTATCTACGTACAATAAGCTGAAAGTGAATTCCTTTCTTATATTTACTGTATTTTCTGTTCAAATTATTGTATTTGAATTCTGAGTTTCATTCATAACTTCTTCCTGATCACACAGTAGTAATAAATGTAAATTACAATATAACCATTTGGTCTTCATAGCATAGAGTCATACCTACAAATAGAATTTGTGTTATAATGTTCGATTGATAAAATTTTCTGACATAATCCTCTAGGAAAACTAATCATCTTATGAATTTTTAATGCCTCTTGACATCTAAACATTCTGTTTAACTGTAAACATCAGTTTATGAAATGACTGCATTCCAAAATTATAGGCAGATAAACTGGACTGTACGTTAGCCAATGCATAACTTCTTTGTAATCGTTGATATATCCTGGTGACAACAAGTTCATATGTATGTACAACATACTTATACCGCTTTGAAGGGTGATTATTATTGTTATTTGAATCAATTAGTTAATAGTTCAATGTCAAGTAATTGAAATCTTAGATCTCAATTTAAAAGTAAAGAAATCCTTAAAGTTAATTCATCTAGTAGTCAAAAGCTAGGTATTTCGATTTCATTTGTTCTATTTAAATGAGTTAAATATTAAAATCCCATATAAATCTGATAATCAAACACATTGCTTATCCATATGCAATAATCACAGTTATGCGTTTTATTAAACAGAACAGACAGGAAATACTTGTATTGAAATAAGTAGTAAGAAATATAGTAATGTACTAATATTCTAAAATCACTTGCTTGATTACTACCGACATCACGAAATGGTCAGTAATACAGCTTAGTTTGCATGGTATAACATCATAGATATGACGTTAATACATAGGTTGTCAAAGCATTTATACATAAAACCTTGGTGTTTGCCAACAGTTCTCATATATTTATTTCGTTGACCAACTATCTCGTAAAACAACCTGGCAGTTTAATAAAGTTTAGCAAGTTCTTGTAATATGTTCTGGTAACAGAACATTTCAAATGTATTGAGCATTAGTAAGGGTTTTGTATTTTCCACATTATTTGAATGATTAGAGATTTACATAATTCAATATGAAGGCGAAGATTATTAGAATTATATAATACATTAGCGCATACATGTTAAGAACATTTCTATAGGGGAAATAAAAGGTTAACTAGGCAATAGTAATATGAAGGAAAATAAGCATAATAAGGTGTTCCTAGCATGATAGTGTTCTTAATAAGTACATATGCCATCAGATTGCTCAAAATGTATTGCGCTAATGATAGTCTACGTCTTCATATTAAACTATCCATATTTGAATTTCTAAAATCACTGGTAATTTAAATACTGGAACGAACTTGTGGTGCTATCTTCATCTCAACTCTAGATAACGTTTAAGTCAGAAAATCTAGTGTACTATTATGAAATAAACCTTATTTTTCTGTGACTGAAATATTAATGAATAGTCCACAACGTCATTTTACCATCCATATCTGAAAATTATTCTTCAGAAACCAAACTACTTAGAAATAGTATAGCATCTGAATGGTTCATAAATTCACAATATTGCTTCAGTACTGGTCTAAATCAACAACTGAAATAATGGTAAAAGTGAAGTACCAAAGCGTGTTGATCACCCCTTTATGAGTTGTGTTTGGTGAAATCTTGGCGCAAATTCAGAAAGCTCGACTACCTTTTACCAACTCGTGTCAATTGTGGCGTAGACGAGAGATGAAGCTGCCGACAAAAGGACGAGTATGCTGCGTAGCAGTTCACGCCGTTCTACTTTGAGTTTGAAACATGAGCATCAAGGAAAGAGATCTAAATATTGGACAATTAAGCTCTGGTTATTGTAATAATCTTTAGATAGTGCTTCAGTCTTCCACATTATTTTATTTAGTAATTTTTAAAATTTAATTGAGCTGATGATGTTAATTTTCTCAACCTCTGCTTATGGGTTGATTAAGTATGAACCCCTTGTGCTTGTGGAAACTAGATCATTCAGTTTAATTCATATCTTTACTGTTGGAATATTTTCTAAATATCCGATCGACTTCATGCTTTCGTTTTGTTTAATCATCCTCGTAATTTTTTTATTATTCGAGTAAATTGTAGCTTTAATGTACTTTAAAGTTGGACATTTGATATCTGTCGAACTAATACACCCGTAATTGGGAATTTAACAGCTTACTATTAACTGACCAGTGGATCTAATTCATGTCAGGAAGAGACATGTATCTACCTCATACAATGGAAGATGATCGCTCAATTTCATGGATTGGTTGAGGTTAGACATTAACACTGTTGGATGCTGGCCGGCTCAGTGGTCTAGAGGTTAAGCGTTCGCACGCGAGACCGGTTGTCCTGGGTTCGAATCCTGTATTCAGGATCATCGATGTGCACTGCTGAGGAGCCCTATAATAGTGCAAAACGGCCGTCCAGGTGTTCACTAGTGGTCCATCGTCAATCGATTCATGATCTCAATCAAAAACTGAATAATTGCTGTACTGCATGTTAGGGAAATTAACTGAAACAGTTACTGACAAATTCTGCTTTTGATTATTTAGCTGCTGTTAAGTAGTGATTAATCGGCAGGAAACTGTAGATCTAGATTTTGTGCGAACTAATTTTTGTCAGAAAAGTCTATCTACAGGCAATCAATTACTCATTGAATAGCTGAGTGGTAATGCTTCTGACAATGAATTAGTGTAACTCAGGTCAATATATCTCATGGAGCATTATCACCCTTAAGACTCCAGGTACACCTTGCTAATGAGTCCTGTCTGGCTTAAAATGTAGTTGAGGGTTTCTTGTAGACTACTACCAACCGGCTGACAAAAAACATTGTCCACGCTATTGTGAGTCACCTAGACTACTGTCCGTATTGTAACTTAATCGATAGAAAACGACAAAATAAACGTAACACTGGCAACTATTCAGTTATCTGTCAAGGACTGTTTCACTGTCAACAAGTTTGTACATATTTCCACTGCGGTAATATATTACAGCAGCAGAATGCATGTTATATAATCCGTTGTCTCGTAAAACAATTCATATTACATTTAATCCACTCGATTATATTGGTTTTATTTAGAGCACAGTGAAAGTTTCCTATGTAAGCACTTAGCAGAAGATGAGCTGAATTCAGTTAGCATTTTGATTTATCGCCCAACACAAACCTGTATAAATAACGAAAGAGATCCATTGTGTCGTTGCAGAAGAAGAAGAAGGGAGGTAATTCAGCGAAAATTTCATTTACTTAAGCTATACAGTCGTATTTATAGTCAATTTTGCTAAGATAGCGTTCTATAAAGAGGTGCTAATTAACTTTTTAACTTGAGGAGGTACGTTGTCAAGATCTGAAAATCAGATATTGAAAGGAAATTATGTGATGATCGGCTACTGAAAAAGTGATAAGGTGAAATAATTGTCCACTTGATAGCTATTAAGAACAGAATAATTGAAAGCTATGATACTTGCTATTTAATTGTTGTGGAAATAGTTGGAATGGATTAGTAACGATAAGTAGAAACGGTAGGTTATGGAAGATAAAAAGGGAGGTTAGGATCATGGGAGAACGAGGGATTAAACATACTGTTCTTGTACGTAAAGGTTAGGCGTAAACTGGTAGATAGCAATAGCCTCAGTTGTACATAGGTTTTTCATTTGCATTCCTATTCAACCAAATCTAAATATTTTACAAATCAATGATACTTCAATTAAATATTTTATTTTAGGTTGTAAGCAGCTGATGAGAATCTAACGAAATAAAATGAATTCATATTATTCTGCACTAATTCTCGTTCTTGCTCTCTTTAAAATAATAAAGGGAACTATATGTATGAGATTAGATAACAGTATTATTTTTCTAAGTAACTGAATAATTCAATAGAGAAATAGGAATGATGAAAGCAAATAAGATAACTATAAATGAGTCAAAAACAACTTAGAACATTAGGAAAGAGGTTAGGATCATGGTAATATAAGAAACTAAATTTAAGGCTTCCGAGTACAGAAATCAGATATGAATTTCTTAACCACATTCCCTTTGAAGTCAGTTCGTTTAAATTTGTGAATAATCGTATATATATATAATTCAAGTTAGACGGAAAAGTGGTTAAGTTGAAAGTTTTATTAAAGACAATATAATATCGTATGTCTGTTAATTGAACAGCTATAGAAAGAAATACCTAGTTTTACACCTAATTTATATAGTTCCATTCAAATAAACTTTATTAGAATATAAATATAACTACATTCATTGTCCTCAAACAATTCATGGACTAGGTAGTACGATTAATTTACGAAGGAACATTTATAAAAAATCAGATAAGGGTTTTTGTGGATATTATAGTAATCTTAATAGTTAAGTTCATGAGTCAGTTGAGGCCGGACCACCATGGAGAACCTGAAAGCAATGGACGGCTGTTTCGTCCTATTGTGGGACTTCTCAGCAGTGCGCATTTACGATCCCGCCTCCTGAGATTCGAAGCGAGGACCTATTGGTCTTTAAGAGGTATTTCCTGGAGTTCTAGTGAAAAACAGTGACTAGTGGAGTTCAGCTGGGTCTATTGTGAGGTAGTAACTCACTGAAGAAAATGATGGACGGTGGCTGAACTTCCTGGATTGGTTGAAGTTAGACATTATCACTATTGGGTGCTGGTTCAGTGGTCTAGGGGATAATCATTTGCGCACGAGATTGATAGATCTTGTGTTGGAATCTCGCAAGGTGGGATCGTGGATGCGCACTGCTGAGGAACCCCACAATAGAACGAAACGGCCGTCCAGTGCTTTCAGGTTCTCCATGGTGATCTAGCTTTAATTGATTCATAAA